GATCATAGCAGCACTATTCACAATAGCCAAGACGTGGAAGCAACCAAAATGTCTATCGACAGATGAATGGATAAAGAAGATGTGGAACATATATACAATGGAATACTATTCGGCCATAAAAAAGAATGAGATAACACCATTTGCAGCAACATGGATGGACCTAGAGATTATCATACTAAGTGAAGTAAGTCAGAAAGAGAAAGACAAATACCATATGATATCACTTATATGTAGAATCTAAAATATGACACAAACTTATTTACAAAACAGAAACAGACTCACAGACATAGAGAACAGACTTGTGGTTGCCAAGTGGGAGAGTATATGGGAGAGGAATGGATTGGGAGTTTGGGGTTAGCAGATGCAAACTATTGTATATAGAATGGGTAAACAACAAGGTCCTACTGTATAACACAGGGAACTATTTCAATATCCTGTGATAAACCATAATGGAAAAGAATATGAAAACGAATATATATATAACTGAATCACTTTGCTGTACAGAAGAAATTAATACAATGTTGTAAATCAGCTACACTTCAATAAAACATATTTTTTAAAAAAGATATTAAATGTGTTGCTTCATGCACAAAGTTTATAGTACTGTTACATCAGCAACAGAAAACTACAGGGGACATTTGATACTAATGGCTTAATGGAATTTTCAAGGTACCTCTTGTTATTTCAAATGATTTGTGATTCATAAGTAGACAGAGCTATAAGTAAGAAGAATCAAGCTATAATGACAAGCAACTCTTTCAAGGTACTTTTTAAAGTTGTTTTTCACTTATATGATGTAATTTTAAAACTTTGGGTTCCATTATCCCAGTTGTCGCTGAATGTATCTACTGCTCTTACAATTTTCAAAATGCTCCCCAAACTTTTGTATGTCTGGTCTGAGATGCATAAAATACTTAGAGCTACAAGCATAACAGTTGCTTTTATTACAACTTAGGAAAAGGACACTAATACTACCAATTTTACATGTCACAAATTTCACAATAGCTGCTTATATGCTGCTGGGGGAAAGCTAACTTTAAAAGAAAACTACCTAAAGGATGGCTTCTTTTAGTTATATACACATAAACACCTGATTATACAAAACTCAAAAACTTGGAGAAAATAAAGACAATTTATTAAAATTTCAATCCGAGTCCCTAGTCATTTGGCAATTTGCAAAATGGTGGCAGGGTAAAGCAGAAAAAAATGAATTTGAATAGTGTGTCAAATAAAAATTTGAACATGATTTAATTATAAGATTTCAATGCAGCTAGGTTACAGAAGCACAGCAATTATCTTTCCATTCAAAGGATAATGAAATATCTCAACCATTCTTTGTATAAGAAACACAATACCCCAGTGGCTCTCTGTCTCCAGGGATCACTTCAGGGCTAAGAGCAGTTATCACCTGAGCCTGACAGAAGAGCTGCCATTAACTGTGTCCTGAATCCCTTAGGTGATCCCTTCATATGCCTCTAAAAGTTAGTCCTACCTGCTCTAACTCAAACTCAGAAGAAATACTGTATCCATGTTATAATACTTACTTCTTGAACCCAGACGATGAATTTCCTCCACTAAGAGCTTAACTTCGTGATCCACATTCATTGCTGCCTGAAGGAGAAAAAAATAAATGTGTATTTCTACAGTTTCTACATTCCATTAAACACACCTTGCAAAGTCCAAGGGCCCTTTCTTTTTCTCATGTAGCATTTGTAATGATTAATTTACTGTGGCCCTCTTCCTAAAAATACTTGCATGGCCCTAGAGTACCTCCATTTCCCCAATTTTATAACTGCCCCTCTGGGCTGACCCCACTCTTCTATACAGTCTACTGGGCAGAATGAAGCCATTCTCCTTGCACCCACTATGAACTCTAAGCCCGTGCTCTGGGCACCAAAAATACAAAGGTGAGTGACACAGGACCTGCCCTCAGGGAATTCACCATTCAGACGCAGAGAAAGGCCTGGAATGAATAGTAATGTGACAAGAAAGCACTCTTTTAGTGGTGGGTCCAAGGCATTAAGGGAACACAAAGGAGGAAGCCACAGAAGTTTTTGTCACTGGGGAGAAGTGGCCAGTAGACAGTTGGGAAAGGATGTTCTAGGCACAGGGAAGAGTATATACAAAAGCACAGAAGCAAAAAACAAAAGAAAACCGCAGCACACTTGGAGCAGGCCCTAAGCTTAGAAGCTGGTGGTACCAGGATAAACCAACACAATCCCTCCCCTCCGGGAGCCTGCAGTCCAGTAAGGAAGGCGGATCCAGGTGGATCCAAGGCAATTTTAATACCATGGGGTCAGCGCAGTGATGACCTCTGGGTCCCTTCCCCCATCAGTGCCCAGTGCAACCTGACTGTAATGGAGAGCCTGTGATGAAAACCATTCATCTTTGGATACGGAGTTCAGGACTAACAGCGGCTGTGAGAATCCCCTTGGCTCATGAGGTCCTCCATGGGCTGGGCTCTGCCCACCATTCCACCATTCCAGCCACCTCAAATCTACCCCCTTGAATCCAGGCTGCAGCTCCATGGGGCTTCTTTTTATTCCTCAAATACCCCTTACTCTCACACCTCCAGCCTTCACATATCCTGTTTCTCCTTCAACCAGGACTCTGGCTATTCCTCTTTCTTGGGGCTGACTTCCATACGTCCAGTCCCAGCTGAGATATAACTTCCTGCAGGAAGCCCTCCCTGAATCCCTGGGGTAGGAGAGCTCTCCCATGTGTGTTCCCACAGCATGTGCACCCTCTTCATTTCACTTGATGATTGGAATGATGCTTCTCAGTTTTTATCCCTAGACAGTGAGCTCCTCTATGCGGGGATCTGACTGTCATGCTCACTGCTGGACCACATCCGGCACCAAGAGCAGGAGTTCGATAAATAACTGGTTTGCAGACTGGAAAATGAGCAAAGACATGAGAAGGGAGGGAACCACACCTGTGGGTGTTGTCACCATGGAGCTGCGGATTTACGTGAGGAACAGAGAGGAGCTCTAAGAGGGAGGAAGTGCACTCAGACAGAAAAGGTAAAGGGGCCTGGCAAACACCTACAGAAAGTGGGCGGAGACAAACACAGCAAGAAATAGGAAAGTGCAGGTAGAGCTAGAGGAGAGCAACCCAACCTTGCTGTGGATCAAAGAAGGAAAGTATAGAAGTAAAGGAAGAAGAATGAGTTTCTATAGGAAGGCAGTAATTTACAGTGAAAACAGCGACATGAGGGTTGGAAAGTATGAGCAGCTGGGCAAAAGGCATCAATTCAGTCTGTTTGCAAATCGTCAGTTTTCCAAATCAGATAAAAGAGTGGGATTGTGTGAACGGTTTACTGTTGGGGTGATGATTTGGAAGAAACAACTTTATTCAGACAGATTGTAACTAACTCTCGGTAGCTTTGAAAAAACAAGAATGACATCTATGTTTAAATGATATTGATCAGGACCCCAGATTTTCTATCAGCTAATAATAAAAGCACCACTACACTGCTACACTTTCGTGTAAATCTTATAATTTAAGAAGCCTACATTGCAATAAAAGGCAACATCTTAGGTTAATGCATCTACATAAAACCGAATATCAAAAATTATAGTGTCCAAATGTGGGAACTTTGTGTTGGTGAAATTATAACATTATATTCAATTCAAGATAGTTTAAGAGAGACACTAAAAAGCTAAAACATACCCAGAGGACACAACTGAAAGACATGCCACGAGAATAATCGTAAGGAAAAAACCTGTTAGTGTCAGTGTGGTGGACAGCTGTTATATTTCCCTGCTCAACACCCATTCCGCCTTCTGGCACCAGCAGTCTAATGTTTGTTTGGATACAGCCTTTCCTTCCTTACTCTAAACCCATGTATCTTGGGTAGAGCCTCACCCTGGACTCCAGGAGTGGTTCAAAGTCAGAATAATTGGTTTGGGACATAGGATAGGTGATCCCATCCTGAACAATGGGTTCAGCCCATGAATTTTGCCAGAACTACTAGTAAAAAGACACTTTGCTACTGGGTTTTAAGGTATAAGCTCACAGCCCCTATATAAATGGCTACCATGTGAAAAGAGCCTGACAAGAATAAAGCTGACACAAAGAAAACTCCAGCCACATAACAATGATTGAATCTGTATATAACCTTGGACTTTCCAGTTACATGAACCAATCTTTCCTGGCTTGGGCTGGTTTGCTTAAGTTTCTGTCACTTGCACTCTAAAGAATCTTCACTTTTAAAGTTAACCTAGAGAAGACCTGCTGCTATTTTTTTAAAAATTAAAGCTCCTTTTATGTACTTGTGTGAATAGTCTTATTTCGTGTTGCTCTGTTGGGTAGGATGGATAGATGGGACAGAAAGGCAGATTTGAAAGCCATATGAGACAAAATTTCTCTAACAATCAAAACGGTCTAACAGTGAGTAAAGTTTGCAGTGGTAGTATGGATCTGTGAGGGTTGATGAAGAAATCAGCCCACATTGGACAAAATAGAAAGGGAAATGTCCAAGGGGATTACAGTCCTTTCCAATTCTCAGATGCTTTGATTTCCTCCCACCCTGAATATTTATCTCTTTAACATCGTTTTCCACTCCTTCCACCCCGCACCAGCCACACACTTCAGACCTAATTCTCCTTTAATAATGAGACTCAAAGAGGAAATCCCGCCCTTAAGTAATGTGAATTCCTGGATCACATTAAGCAGATGTATGTTCATCCAATTTTAAGACAGGAAGACAACCAGAATTTCTTTGTAATTAATTACACCTGAGGCTCCTTATCTGCATTAATTCATGTAAACCTAAGAACCTTATGAAGTAATATTATTTATCCCCATTTTATGGATGATGGAACTGACTCCGAGGGGCTTCCCACAATTAAATGCTGTTTCTACTGCATCACTCTGGCTCGTTTTTTTTAAATTTTGTTTCATTTATTATTTTTTTGCTGGTTATTATGCCAACTGCACTAAATATATAACAGTGGGTTGTATTTGTGTGAAATATTACATGCTGAGTGCTTACTAAGGCAGGCACTTACAAAGTAAGAAAGGCTCCCCGCACTGACCCTTGCGAGTAGGAACATAACAGGCTTAGAAACTATTGCTAGCATACATCATTTGGCATGGTTTATGTCTTTATTTGATTATTTAATGAGGACAAAGGAGTATAAAATACTCTGTTGCACAATCCTTGGAAGGCCCATGACATTTTATAAGGACAGAAGCCTGGGACTGGTGTTAAGCAGCAAGATCAAGAACAATGAGAGGCCATGGGCAGAGCAAGTCTAAGAGAAAGAAAGCCCCTCAGTGGGAGGCTCAGGGGAAGGCGATGGCAGATGCTAGTCGGGCCCTCTAATTGAGACAGAATCCAATTAGGCACTGTGCGTGGGAATCACAAAGACAGCGGAATGTGGGAGCACTAGGCCATCTGGGCCATATGCTGAAATGCTCCACCATCAATATGCGCTTAAGAATATATTTAAGGACTCTCATAGCTTTTTTGAGTGGTTGGTTCCTTTTTTGTTTTGTTTTGTTGGTTTGCTTTTTGTTTTGGGGGGGGGGGTTTGAGTTTGGAGGCAATACCTAGAAATTTTCTAATGTCAGGGAATAAGCCTACTGGAGTGGGGACAACTTGGAATCAGGACTCACCTCTCCACACTGGAGCTGGCCACTGTTTCCCTGCCCTCCTTCACAATCCCTGACGAGCAGCTGGTGCGGGTCAAAGAATGACTGGGTTCCTTCCTGCCCCTCGCAGGCGCGCACACACTCCATATTTGGTCATCCCTGCGCCAAGTTTGGGAGCTGGCGCGTAAGGGGTCCCAAAACCCTGTCCCCAGCGGGCCATCACACAGTCACCACCGGTACCAGTGCAGAGCTGAGGGGCGCGGGGTTCGGCCCCCTGCTCCGGGGCGCACGGCTGGCTCCCGGGCGACCTCCCCAGGAAGAACCGCATTCCGGAAGCCTTTGTCTCCTAGAGTCTCGCGCCAGCGCCGCCTGCTCGCGCTCTCCGGCTGTTGGTGCGCCCCCGGCGCGCCCAGAGAGCGAGCGCCCAAACCGAGCGACGCAAACGGACCCAGCCCGGGGCTCCCCGAGTCGCTGGTGTCCCCTCACTACCACCCACGTCGCACACAGAATCGGGAGCGTACAGATCCGCACCCGCCGCCGGCGCCGCGGAGTCCACTGCCCTGAAGCCACCAGATTCCTCGGGGGAACCTGTCCCCTCACTCCCAGCCCGTCCCCGCTCAGCTCTGCGGAACTGGCTCCCCAAGCGCAAAACGGACACGTTGCTCCGCGATAAAAATCTTTAAACGCTGCAGATCTCTCTGCCCTGTCCGCCCCCGGGCGGCAAAACGTCACGTGAGCCGAGGGCGGAAGTCTGCTGGAGAGTTGGGGGGCGCAGGGGCGCGCCCACCCGGCCCCCCGCACCCGCTCAGCCCAAGGTCAGTTATACCCTCCAGGCGTCTTAGCCCCCTCCCGGTCCCGGCTCTCCACCCGCAGCCCACGATCCCCCCGGCTGCTTGGCCTCCACCGGCTACCCCCGTCCATCCTTCATACCTACCTGGCCACATCTTCCCAGGGCAATCACTCACCTCTCCGCCTCCTTTTCTTTTCCGAGAAAACTGGGGCTGCGTCGGTGCCGGCTGGTTACCTTCTTCAACGCACTGGGGAGGAAGAAGCTGAGGAAGGAAGTGACTGAGGCAGAAAAGAGAGGCTGCTGTGCTGGAGGAGGAGGGCTAGCGGGGGGAGGGGGGAGAGTTTCGGTGCCCAGGAATGCGGCCGCCCACACTCCCAGGGACAAGCCTGTGAGGAGGAAACTCAGGAGAGGAGATGCCCGAGACGGGGGGCGGACTCCGGACAGGTGGCGGAGCGCTGGAGGCTTCTAGGAAAATGCGCCTAGAGCTTCGATTACCGCCGCCTTTCCCCCGCGCCGCTCGGAGCCACGGATCCTCAACCGCAGCATCTGATCCTAGTCGTTGACTTCCTGCCAGCATCTCTCTCCTAACTTAGGAAACAAAGCGTCCCCAGCGTGCTGAATGCTGAGGTCTCCTAGGAGGAACGTAAGCCAGGAGCAGGGGCCTTCAGAAAGCTACAGACGTGACAACAGGATGGTCAGTTTTGCAAAAGAAAATTCATGTTTGAAAACCAATTTGTTCTACTGCGAAGAAACTTTACTTGGACAAAGCTAATTATTGGTCCCGGTCAATATAGATTTCTTCCCCTCTTTATTATTTCCTACACGTAACCGCATAATTCAATCATTTTATTCATGCATCCTTTATTTTAGTAACTTGTTTTAATCAGCGTGTGTTTGTGTGTGTGTATGTGTGTGACATGTTTGCTGTACCTGGCGTCCCTTCGAAAAGGAAACCGAGACCCTGGTGAGAGAACTGACCCAAACTATTCTCAGGACAAAGGTTGCACAAATAACTGCCCCCAAATTTCTCCCCCCGCCCCGCCCCGCCATAGCTGACTGGATTAAGAGTGGTCATGTGACCCAAGAAACACAGTCCATAAACTGGCCATCACCCTAAGAGGTGACCTGAACAAACAGTCCTCACCAAACCGGGACTCGGATCATTAGATAAGCCAATCAAGGTTCTCCCTTGGAAATGGAAAGGGGAGAATACAGAGAATGAGCTATCGGACAGGAAGGCTGAAGCTGAGAGGGCTTGAGGCAGAAGTAGAGAAAATGGGCCACCACAAAGCAAACACTGGAGTAAAAGCAAAAACCAAAGATGAAGTAGAAGGTGGATGGGTGTGGAAGTGGCAGAAGTGCCTCTATGGGAAGCTGAGACCCAGTGGTATATTAAGAACAGCAAAGACCTGCTCCCCAGGAAGATATGAGTATCCAGGTCCCTAGGGCTGCACTGGATCCCGCCACTTCCCAAAGAGCATTCTAGTTACCCTTTCACTATAAACACCTATGACTTTGGGTGTGATTTCGAATGAGTCTGTTCCCTACCACCAAAAGATTACTCTTCAACAAAGGTCTGATTCGTCAAGGTTTCTCATGTTACATGAAGTTTAAGGTGATCCCACCATCCGTTTGAGGACTAATTTTTTCTCACTAAAAGAAAGCTGAGAGGTAGTATTTTATATCTTTCAAAGTCTACATAATGCAAAAATTATAATTCAAGAAACAATCATATTTAGCAATTCTCTAAGCGGGACCTGGCTACTTTGGTTTGTGACAGTGACCACAATTCTTCATTGGGATAATATCCAGTGAAATGAATAACCAATTTGTAGTTGCTCCACTTCTTTATAACTAGGTAGTGTTTCACAGTACTTTGCCAATGGGGAGAAAACAAAAGAGAGAGAGAGAGAGAGGGAGAAATCGATTACTTTTAGCAAGTAAAAGTCCCTGTGACTATAAAAATGGATTCACTCTTTTAAAATACTTTGTTTATACATGTTGCACTAAGCGTAACATAAACTTCATGTAATCTACAAAGAATTACAATTCAAGAAAGTTGTTTAGAGTGAAAGAAATATCAAAATCTCGCCAAGTAATATTTTTCATACCTAATTCCTACTCTTTCAGTTTCCATGCAGATTTTTGCCATTATCTTTTCTTGTTCTTTTACCAATATTATCATCATGTAGCTAAGCGATGTGGAATTTTAACCTAAAAAACAGAAAATAGGGGCTTCCCTGGTGGCGCAGTGGTTGAGAGTCCGCCTGCCGATGCAGGGGACACGGGTTCGTGCCCCGGTCTGGGAAGATCCCACATGCCGCGGAGCGGCTGGGCCCGTGAGCCATGGCCGCTGGGCCTGCGCGTCCGGAGCCCGTGCTCCGCAACGGGAGAGGCCACAACAGTGAGAGGCCCGCGTATCGGAAAAAAAAAAAAAAAAAAAAAAAAAACAGAAAATAAAGTTTAACAGTTAAGAAGTACTTATTAACTATCAAGCGTGCACTGGCAACAATGTGCCCAGACTGGAGGGTACAAAGTAGCCTAAAGCATGATATTTGTCAAAAAGAACTTTCAGCGATGTACATATAAAATTTTAATTTGTCAAATAGAACTTTCAGGGCTTCCCTGGTGGCGCAGTGGTTGAGAGTCCGCCTGCCAATGCAGGGGACACGGGTTCGTGCCCCGGTCAGGGAAGATCCCACATGCCGCGGAGCGGCTGGGCCTGTGAGCCATGGCCGCTGAGCCTGCGTGTCTGGAGCCTGTGCTCCGCAACGGGAGAGGCCACAACAGTGACAGGCCCAAGTACCGCCAAAAAAAAAAAAAAAAAAAAAAGAACTTTCAGTGATGTACATATAAAATTTTAAGACAATCCTTATCCATTTATTTAATTACATAGTATAGACCAGCACTGTTTAATAGAAATATAATTGTGAGCCACTTCTGTAATTTAAAATTTTCTAGGAGCCACATTAAAAAAAAGAAACATGTGAAATTAATTTTAATAATATGGTTTTATATAATGTATTCTTTAACCCAGTATATCTAAAATACTATCATTACAACTTGTAGTGAATATTTTAAAATTATTAATGAGATATTATAAACTTTGTTTTGTACTAAGTCTTCAAAGTTATTGTGTATTTTAATCTTAGAGTGCATGGCAGATGCTCAGTAACTTTATATGGTTAATGACTACTGTATTGGTTGGTGTTGTTACAGATAATTCCAGAATAGAGCATGACATATAGGCTAATAAATTTACTTAAGAAATTACATGTTCCTGGAATGAGGGAAATAATAACACTATATTTAAAGGTTCATTTTTAAAAATGTAATTGTCTCTCTTGTAATGAATAGAAAAAAATCTTTGTAAAGGATCTTCAGGACAGCAATTCCATCCTGAGTATATACCAATAGAAAAGGTACCTAGATCTACCGAGAGACATGTACAGAATATTCACTGAGTATTCATGGCAGCACTATTTATAATATTTCTAAACTAGAGCCACCCAGATGCCCAGTAACATTAGAATGGATTAATAAATTGTAGCATATTCAAAAAATGGAAATTACCCACCAAGGAGAAGGAACAACCAACAACTACATGGAAGGGTATGGTTGAATCTCACAAATACAGTGTGGAGTGAAATAGCCTATTATTCATTTTACATAAAGGTTTAAAAGCAGGCAAAACTAATCAGTGGTGTTAGAAGTTAGGATAGTGGTTATCCTTGTTGGGTGGTGGGGGATAGTAATTGAGATAGGGCATGAGGGGGGCCTTATGGGGTGCTGACAATATTCTGCTTCTTGATCTGTCTACTGGTTACACACGTGTTTGACTCTTCAACAAGCTGGCCAATTAAGATAAATTTTTTCTTCCTGTGGCTATGTTCTTTTTAATAACATTTTGACCTGTTGACCTGTTGACCAAACAAGGCTTATTCCAGGAATATAAGGATTATTCAACAATATTAGGAAACTTTATAATTCCCTATGGCCAATAGTCTCTCATTTTTATCTTATTCTTTAAATGAGGTTTATCATTTGGATCTATCATTCTAGTTCAGACTGTCGTCACCTTGTGCTCGTGTTAATGTTGGTTATTATGGTGATAATAATGATTATTGTGTATCTTGGGCACTAATTTTGGATCCAAGTATAGTACTGCTTGAGTGCTCTGGGTGATATAAAGAAGTAAAAGTAAAATCTGTGCCCTCGAGAAATAATGGAAAAAGAATTATATACCATGAGTAAGTGAAATTTATTTGAGGAATGCAAAGTTGGTTCAACAAATGGAAAGTAATCAATGTAATACACTATATTAATAGAATAAAGGGAAAAGTCCACATCGTCACCTCAACAGATGCAGAAAAAGCATTTGACAAAATCCAATACCCTGTCATGATTAAAAACACTCAACAAACTAGGAATAGAAGGGATTTTCCCCAACCTAACAGCAAGCACATACAAAAAACTCATAGCTAACACCACACTCAATGATGAAAGACTGAAAACATTCCTCCCTAAGATCAGGAACAAGACAAGGATGTCTGCTAAGGAATACACAAAAAAAGCTAGCAGAATCAATAACCCAGTTCAGCGAGGTTGCAGGAAATAATATCAATATACAAAAATCAGTTATATTTCTATTTTTTCTATATACTAGGAATGAACAATCTGAAATTGAAACTAAGAAAACAATTCTATTTACAACAAGATCAAAAGAATAAAATACTTAGGAATAAGTTTAACTAAAGAGGTGCATACACTTGTACAAAATAGTATTGAAAGAAAAAAAAATTTAAACCCAAATAAATGGAAAGACATCCTACATTCATAGATTGGAAGGCTTAATATTGTGTAGATGGCAATACTCCACCAAATCATTGACAGATTCAATGCAGTACCTATCAAATTTCTAACATCGTTTTTGCAGAAATCGACAAACCTATCCTAAAATTCATATGGAAATGAAAGGGATTCAGAATAACCAAAATAATCTTGAAAAAGAGAATAAAGTTAGAGTATTCATATTCCCTGGTTTCAAAGCTTACTACAAAGCTACAGTAAATGGTACTAGCATAAGGATAGACATATAGAAAATGGAATAGAATTGACAGTCCAGTAATAAACCCACTCATCTATGGTCAATTGATTTTTGACAAGAGAGCCAAGGCCATTCAATGGGGAGAGAATGGTTTTTTGTCTGTTTGTTTTTGTTTTTTGGCCACGCTGTGCAGCATGTGGGATCTTAGTTCCCTGACCAGGGATCAAACCCA